ACCAGAAAGTTCTTGGATGCGAATAGTACATTTGGCTTGGAGAATAACAAACCTGTGAAGTGTTTGCTTGTGTAGACGGGAACTGGTTCGCCTTCAATAGAGCTAGTTCCCGTAAAAACCTTAAAATAGCGAAGGTTTATAAGCGAGTGAAGTCCTTGCCTGTAGAGGGTTTTCGAAAAAAACTTGAAATGGCGAAGGATAGCCGAGTAGAAGCATCTTCGCAAAGGTCTGAAAATTCGACCGAGTTTATTTTAAATTGATCGTGTTTCAAATGGATCACGTTCATGACAAGGCGCTGACACTTACCGCTGTAATTCCTATTGTTTAGCTGGAGTTTTCCAAAATCTGCCTGCCCCACCCAAGCACTACGGCGTCTTTGATGTTTTTGCCGATTTTCAAAGTTTTTTCTAACTTGAAAACTCGAGGTCGCGCTTAGCAATGTCCACCGATGACAGATTTCTACCGCAAGGTAAACAAATTCTCCCAAAAATTTGCCAAGTGCGACCCATGTCTTAGGTAACAAGGGTTTGAGGGACGGTCTGGGGGGTGGGGGCGGGGGTTGCTCCGTCCCGAGGCCTTCAAACACCCACTTCAGTCGATCTAACCTTTTGCCGAGCAACAACACCTCTACCACTGGGGACGCCCAGAGAGAAATGTTGTCCAGTTTCATGCCTTCTTCTTCGTTACGGTTGTTAAGATTAACGACGTTACGGGTATAGCGAAAAGCTCTCTTTTCCGCGGTGGAAAAATCGTGGAACCGCAAAGACTTTCCCTCAAAAGAAGACATGCCCGCTGAAATTTACAACAGCTGAGGTGGAACAGAGTTGTTCCTCGTCTGAAGGTAAAAAGCTCTTGAAATACATTTTATGAACCTCTTTGAAATTGGTTGGATGATTTCTAAGACAAATGACATATATGTTACAATTGTAAATGGTCCGTTTGCCTTATTTCTAGTCGAAGTTCGCAGTTATGATGATCCAATGAAAACCATGGCGGAATGATTTCCCCCACATGCGAGACTCGAGCAGCACCGACGAAAAAGCTTCCAGATTGATTTGTGAACTTTCTTCCTGGTTAATCGTTACAAGAGGACTTATAATGGTAAGTAGTTATCATCAAAGTCGACTACATAGCCAGAAGCTTAGCGAATTCAAGAACATATGCACCAACTTTACTTCATTAAAGGGTGGTTTCTTCTGCTCCATTCTAGGATATCGGATTTCAGACTTGTTTCATTGTAAATAACATTCCCTTTGTTTGAACCGAAAGGACCGAGAGAGAGAGAGAGAGAGTGTGTGTGTGTTTGGTGTGTACATGTTTTCTAAAGTCTCGTTGTATGAATTGTCTTTTCCTGCCCTGACGTACGTGGGGTCTCTGAGCTAGAACACGATTTGGGAAGGTTGTTTTTTTACGGTTTTGGAAGCCGTCTTGACGAAATCGTTTGAGAAATTACAGTGTCTTTATGAGAAACTAATGTTGAATAATTTCCGTAAAAACCCTGTTCTGAAAAGAATATATGTATATATATACATATACATACATTATTTTACTTAAGCTTCACCCCTGAGTATTCTATTGAAAACATTTCAGGGCCGAGTTATTCAAAGCTGGATTAAGATAACCCATGGTTATACATCAGTCAATTCCAGCTGCGCCCTGTACCCCCTGACCCCCGGTATTGGCAATTTTTTTTGCCTTGGTCAAGCAAATTCCCGGGGGTGGAGACTCTTGAGCTGTCAAATCCCCTGGGGTGGGGATGAAAAAAGAGGGCAAATGCTCCGTCCTCTGTCAACACTGCAACAGTTTTCATTGATTGCACAGTCGACTAATGCCGTTTTAAGGATTTTAATGTGTGATTTTTTTGTTTCAATTAACGGCCTCCTTTGTAATAGCGCTAGGATTCTAATGAAGACTTTGCACCATGACGACATGCGCCAGTGTGTGGTTTTTGTATTGATATAAAATTATTGACCTTGAAATTAATAGAGCGCTGTAACTTCATATGTTATGAATAGTTTTATAAATATGAAAGGATTTTCTTAACTAATATCAACAGAAATTTGACTCAATAACCCCAAAAGGTTGATTCACATCGATAGCTCTGGTTTTCGCTATGCAATTCTGGTTTCATAGGTAATGAAGAAATGCATGCATAAAATTGAGAACATGCCTTTACAACCCTCTTCAATTTATTCCTGTCCATGACAGATGAGCCAATCTGCTTTTTTACCAGTAAAACCTAGTGTGTAGTTATATTCTAATAGGAAACCGCTTGTGTGTCAAAAGCTCAGGAATGGCCCCAGGGTTGGCAAATGCCCGGCCCCCGGGCAGTGCAAAATTTGCAAATGCCCCACCCTGGGACTGACAAGGGCTAGCAAATGCCCTGCAGTAGCCTGGGGGGCGGGGGAGGTTGCCTGTTGGGCGCAGCTAGAATTGACTGATGCATTAGTTCGGGATTTGAATTCAGATTTGAAAGCTTAAAAAGCATTTCAGTTTTAATTCTTTCTGTCTACAAGTTGATGATTAGAAGTTGTAAAAACTACAGAGAAAATTATCTGAGAAAACGGTTTTGAACACAAGAAAAAGAAACCCGGGTTAAATTTAATGCCGGGTTAATGGCTAATTGGCCTTTGAACAACTGGGCCCAGGGCATTATGTGCATGCACCTGCATTCACCACTTTGAAACATGTGTCCGTCAAGATGCCTTCCAAAACTGTGAGACAGTCTATTATTATTACTTTTCAGCAACATCTGTCGATGCTAGTTTTGCGATGCTAGTTATTGTTCTGTCAAGATGATACCGAAAGCTAAGTGGGGCATTTTTTGTCACCTTTTTTTATGTAAAGATGTTAGAAGTATTTCAAAAAGGGATACCAGATGACGTGGAAATGTGGTCACAACAAAGAAGTGCCACATGAGCTGCAGGTGAGTGTGTCACTGATGTTTTTATTACAGTTTGATGTCCTCTGGGATCTATTACTGAACAGACCCATGGCAACATTGAATCTATGAAAATTATGTTTTATACAATGATTAGAAAAGAAAAAAGACCGATACACAAACCTGCCTCGTACTGCTTGACTGTTCGAGGACTTTTGCTAGTTTAGGCATTTTTTAAGTCCCTAATGCTACTTTTTGTCTCTGCTTCTTTTTTTCTTTATCCTACTTGTATGCAGTTTCTTCAAAAAGTTTTTCATGTCTTTTCTTGCTCAAAGCAGAATAATGGCAAAAACATTTACAAAACAGCACGTCTTTATTACAGATTACACATGATGGCAACGGTTGTGAAGATTTCTTGTAGTCTAGGCACTCTTGAGTAGTCAAGAGCTCTTTTTGTCTTCATTTGTCTCTTTTTTGTTTGTAAATAGCTCCTGCTAAACTTTTTTCGAGGCTTTCACCCTCTAAAATCTGAAATAATCTCACAAACTTTTTCAAAACCGTGTACCATGTTCAACAAAACTTTAGAAAACAAGTTTCCCATCACGTCATCCATGTATCTGTACTCACAGTGCGTGTAGCATTCAGATCATTGTATAATTTCTCATACAAAGAAAATTTTTCAAACTGGACAATTTTATACCCTGTGAACAGAGGTTTCTTTCCTGCATTGCTTTGCACAGTTTGTAGGAGTTGTTATTAAAGCTACAAGCACTAGCGTGATCTGCGTCAAAGGCAATGCTGAAGGTGGGATTTGTTTTGTAAAATACAGAAAAAACTTCTTGTAGTACCAAGCAAAAATACTGCCTAAGAGGTGCGGGTTTGTTTTTATGGGTGAAGTCTGAAAAATTTTGAGGATGCGCCTGCTATGTAGGCCCTGGTTTTCAATTTATGTCCCCAGTTTTATAACGTGTCAGTGCTGCATCAAGTCATAAAAAATGATTGAAAGCAGATCGTCCATTCCTTTTCAAATAAAGTAAACACAGCAGAAACTGATTGAGTGAAAGATATGTTGATTTAATTATAACATTGCTCTCTTGTAGTTGACAATAAAACTATACTCACCATTGGACTCAATATGTCTTCCTCTTGGACTTGCAACTTAAGGTTAAAGAAGTCAAGAGCACTTTCCTTTGTAAAGATGAGAGAAAATGGAAGAACATGCACTGTAAATTCACCCTGCGCTTGTGAACTTGTTTTCTTCTGATCACATATACACTTGTAACCTCTGAAACTGTTTTCAGTTCAAGCTATTCAACTCAATACGTAATGATACATTGATCCTTATATTTATTAGAATCCTAAGAAGATAAATAGATACTTTATTAAGAAATTATTATGTCCCGGTTGACATGGCTGAAATGTGAATTAGCCTTTTGAACAGATATTATTTCTTTCGTGCTTGTGCACTTCTGTTGGTCTTTAAAAAATTTACTCATGCTTATTTATTCCAAAATACACTCGAAATCATGTGATTACCTATACTAATGAAAATGAAATAAATTGAATTGAAACCAAACGCTGAAGCTTATAGAAAGCAGGGCTTTCAATACGATTTGAAGTAGGCGTCTGTCCATATAATAGTAGGTGGCTGTGACTATTTAGGTGGCTGAAGGCCACCTTTTCTAGTGGGGTCTAGGGGCATGCACCCCCAGAAAATTTTGAAATTTAGAAGCTCGCAAATGCGATTTCCAGCATTCCTGGCATGTGTGTTTTTCAAGAGCTTTTGTGAACATGTAAGGTAATTGAGTTTGGCAGGAGTGCTTGCCACGTGACTTACCAAGGCCCAAGCTGCAACCCCACCCTTAAATTTACACCAAACATCATGATATATAGCCAGTGTGGTTGTAAAGCTATGAGAAGATGCTGATATTCAACTGAAAGTATAGCTAATTTCTTCATCAAATTCTTGACAAACTTCTTCCTCCTTAAATAATTTTGATGATTACACTGGCCACTAGTTCAGTAGTAATTTATACTTTGACAATTTCAGTACTGTTTCTGACAGTTCTAATTCTAGCTTTGTTGACCGTTTTGAAAATTAAATGACACCTGCAACTGTTCAGTCTGAATCTGACTCAAAGTCTGAGTCATAGTCAGAGTGAGAGTCATCCATATCCGAGATATCGAGAAGTTTAAGAGCGCTGATTACTGAATTAACTTCTTTCTCCAAATTTTCAACTCCAATCCCATCTCCCATGGCATTCACTTGTTCTGGAACATCTAGTGCCAGTGGTGGCAGCATATCAACTTGGACAGCAGCATTAGAAGTTGTTGGGCAGTTACTGGAAGTGGCACTTGCAGGGATTGATTTAGCAATTTTTCTTCGAGCTTTCACATGCCACTTTTTCACTGCTTTCTTGACTAGGCTTTCACACTCCTGTACTTCTGGCCCATTGATTGTAATGTGCATTAGTTATTCCAACATATCACCTTTCAGAGAGCTTCTCAGCCTTGTTTTCAGTCGTTTGACTGCTGATGTCCCACGCTCCGGCCAGGTGTGCTTACGGGCTGAGACATGCACACTTTAGCAAGACAAAGAAGCTCTGGCGCAATATGACTGTAAGTCGATTGATTGGAAAGCATGTGATGTAAAAGCCAATCTGTAGGTGTTTGGGATGTCAGTTCCTTGTTCTTTGGTGGCTTACCGACATTTGCTGGCATTTCACTGTTGAGTTTTAAGATGCTGTACTTGAACTTCCGCCACTCACAAATCAATTCCTCTGTCTTCTGGACCTTTGATTCTCCAGTCTCCAGCTGATACAGATATTCTGCAAGGATCTTGATCTCTTTGTCTCCCTACTCACTAAAGCTCTGATCAGACTTGGAAGTAAAGACTTGTTGCTTGTAATCGATTCATTTCAGTTTGAGTGACAGAACTACATCTGCTCCCTTGACAAGTGTAAAAACTGTGATAGTGTACAGGTTTGTTGACTGAATTTCCAAACGATGAGTGAACAAAGTATTTCATTTCTTTGGCTAAAGGCCCGCTGTCTGGCTCAGGAGTTTCGGAAGATTGCCGAGATGACGAGGCATGATCTGTGACTTCAGGTATACTTTCAGTTGGGTTGTCATCTGAATCATTGCAATGTGTCACATTGTTTTCTGCAATTAATATTCTTAACTAAGCGAAGAACAACACAATGGGTTTATGAGAAAACAATTGCAAAGTCAAAATTTATTCAAAATACCTGTTCCGGTGCGTGGTTTCTTTGTAAAGAATGAAAACAATTCACTTTGTCCGAGGCTACGCTTGGCCGCCATCTTTGTTCAACCAACCACGTGGTAATAGTTTGGGATCGAGGCTCAATTTCATTATGATACCGCTGAAAATGGCTAAGCGTTCCTCAATCAGTTGTGATCCGTCGCGGTACAGAAATCGTTTTTATATATGCTTTATTCCAAAATTCTCAAGGCAAGAGTGCGCTATATTTTATCAGATTTATTTCAACTGAAAAATGGGTAGGCTGTAAACATTTTAAGAGTTATATTTTTGAAGTATTTGCTGACAAACATGGCCAAGTAGCCAGTGACTCGATGACACGCAGCCGCCGGAGCTCCGGCAGTAGCCTGCTTCTAATGAAAGCCCTGCAGAAAGCCAAACAAATAAATAATACCTTACTAACTAACTAAATAAATAAATAAATAGTAGGTAAATCGAAAAAATTGGAAATTGAGATAAAATACTAATACTATTATACAGTAAATGTCACTTGCTAGTTAACTCATTCCCTCCAGGAGATTTTGCCGAAAAAAGCATTTTGTTGTCATTTTTTCACTGTTGTGTCATAAAGAGCTAAAACTTACCACCAAGCTGTTTACAGGTCATACATTTCGCGGCCTTCTGATCCAGATGTAAAATATTAGCTTGCAAAGTTCGGACATGGGGAGAAAGCAAAATTTCTTCTTTCTCTCCTCCCCTCTTTTTTCGCTTTTCTTGCCTCATTTTTATTCTCTTGCTGGGCATTTAGCAGGCTTTATTTTGGTGGGAAAAGTTTTTATGAAAACTTTCAGGATCTTATGCTGAGATGAAAGGAAAGGTTGGTGGGTAGTGGAACAAGATTTTTCTTGGAAATTTTCAGGTCAATGTTACATGGTTTTTAGGCTTTTTCTCTAGTGTCTAGTATCTGAATTGTGCTCATTCTGATATGGTTTGAAAGATCTCTTCACTGTTCAAGTGAGCGGACAAAGTTGTCCTCAACCGTTAACACTGATGATGTCACAAGTGGTAGAAAGAACGTGGATCTGCACGCGTGGTGACGGGTGGCTCAGGTACAAATGGGTTAAAAACCTTAGTTACTGTAATCTTATCTAAGTGCTTTCTTAAATGATGGTTTTATTTCTATATCTAAAACATTGCTAGGCAATGAATTCCATTCCTTTATTGTCCTGCATTAAAAAGAGTTTCTGTAGGCCCCAGTTTTTGGTCTCAATTCAATAAATCTGTCATTTTGAGAGGATCATATTTGGCGATTGTGCCTTTTGATGTAGCTTGGGAATTCTTTCTCTGATTCTCTGGTGTTGTAGAGGGGGCCAATCCAAATCATTAAAGAAGTTTGTGACAGTTCCAGGCGTTCACTCCCAACAATCTTTTACGAATTGTGCAGATCACTGCTGTACAGCTTCTATTCCCCTTGTATGCTTATCCATCCATGGATCCCATACTTGGCTGCATATTTTAGATGAGGTCTCACTAGTGCTTTATAAGCTAATTCCTTAATTGATCCAAGGCAGTTGCTAAGATTCCTTCGCAGGAAGCTGAGAGTTTGATTTGCTTTGTTGAGTTTGTTATCAATGTGATGGCTCCAGTCTAATGTGGATAATAACTCTACTTTAAGATAGGGATAAATGTATTCTCAAACTAATTAATTATTCATACGGTTAAAAGCCAATCGGAGTGCTCCATTTTCGTCAGCTGGATGTATCTTGATACCCAATGAAAATCTAGGTCAAGATTACTCCAGTTAGTTCAAAAACTGATGAAAACACTGATCAAGACATTTCAATTTTAATTAGCAGCCTCAATTACTATACAATCAATTGTTCACTCTCGTACTTCCAAAAGTTATTCACAACGTGAAAATTCCAATTCTGGAAAGTTCCCTCGTGGAATGCAGCATTAAATAAAGAACTTAATGGTTTTTCATCCTCTTGTTTACAAGTTTCCCCTTTGGAAGTACTTAACACAGCATTTAGACCCAGCAAATAAGATACCTTTCCTTTATTTTCCTCGCTGGGTTTCTCATACTTTAATAAAGCATTGGACCGATGTCCTGTTCGCTCACGTCTAAGCTTTTCTTCTACCCCAGCATTAAAAAGAGACGAAGCACATGTGATGCGTAGGCAATGCGCAGTTTTCTGTTTTACCCCTGCTGCCTCACATAAATCTGGCAATACCTTATTTAGAGTGTTAATACCGACTGGAACTTTTTCAAAACCAAATTTGGCCTTAGATGCCTTGTAGTAAAATGCATTACCATTCTTTGCAAAGACTTCCACTAAGCCTATATACAAGTGATATATTTCAACAAGACAAGGCTCGTGTTTTGCCCCTTCTTCGTGACAGATATGCTTAACTGTTCTGGGAATATGTTTCAAATCAGAGACTCCTCCATGAAATGTTTTACAAGAATTTTCTTGAAACTTAATAAAATTAGACCCAAGCTCAAAATTACTTAACACAATATTTCTATGATCTCCACCTTGTAAACCAAAGATTTTTCCATTGTTAAAATACACTGTATACAATAACGACTTAGCTGAGCTCGTTCCTAATAAGTTCATCTCCCAGAATTTTCTTTCTTCTTCGGCAGTGACGAATTCTTTCTCCTCCTTTTGGCACTTGATATGGAGGCCTTCTTTCATAGCATTCTTCATCTCTGCATGTGAGGCACGCCAAAAAGTGCCGAACCTATTGCAATTAATCCACCAACAAGAGTATGTTACTTAAAATAAAAACTGAAACTATTCCCGAAATCAATAATACCAAACAAGCAAAAACAACGTGCTTAATTTCCCATACCTTTTATTGTGAGCATCAAGTGGATTCAATGCCTCATCGCCATTTTTGTTTCCCAAACGACGCTTCAGACCACACACTATCCCGTACACAGTTCTGGGTGGATACCTTTCCGTTGAATCTTTGGTGACTTCCATTACGAACTTCGTGAGCCAGTAGTTAAGATATATCGCATCCATATCCTCTATTTTACAACTAACAGGATTAACCTTGTGCAATTCATAATCTTTGAAAAGACCACCGGAATCTAAAAGTGGCACTTTCATCTCCCTTTGCTGCTGCCATTCCTGAAATATTTTTAAAGCCCATTTGTTTTTGTACTTTGTAGAAGATGGAACAGCTTCATCAGCCAGGACTTGTTCCTCAGCTGCACTTTCCGGCAAATGAAAATGACTCGGTCTTCCTTTCTCCTTCTCAGCCATAACCATCAACAATGAAACACTCGCACTCGTTTTGGACATATTATGGCAGAGACTTGCATGAGCTGTTTACCATTTCCGCAGTGAATACATTATTTTTGCATGCTTTATTGCAATGTATTTTTAGGTATGGTTGAGAAGTCATGTGAAAAACTCTTGCTTCATGTTTCATCCACAGGAAAAAATAACCGATTCCCATTTTTGGATATTTTAGGGTATTTTTAAGAATACCCACAAAAATCCCAAATTTGGAAGAGTGAGACAAGTCCCAATCAGGGAACTTGGTTGGGAATTCCATGGTTGGGACTTGTCTCACTTTGCCAAATTTGGGATTTTTATGGGTATTCTTTAAATACCCTAAAATATCAAAAAATGGGAATACGTTACCTCGAAACAATAAAATCACTCGGCCTGCTGCCTTGTGTTTTCATCTCTTTCTTGGTGTCTGGAACCCCTGATGAAACACTCGCACTCGTTTTTGACATATTACATATTGATTCTAGTGCATGACCCATTAATTTTTAGTCATAAATAACAGGTTCACGCTTTCTGGTTATCCTCATGACAAGGCATTTGCTTGGATTAAATTGCATTAGTCTGTTCTGTGACCAGCATTCTATGGTGGATACATCATACTCTGTGAGTTGGTGACAGTACAATTTCACCAGCTAGTGAAGTAAAGAAACTTGGTACCTGGTTTGATCAACAGTTTAAGATGGACACACATTAATGTTGCCACTTTTAAACGCCTCCTGAAAACCCATCTATTTAGGAAAGTGTAAAGCTGCTGGTAGTTTATTCCCATTTTATTGCTTATAAAAATCTGATACCCAGTTCTTCGTTACCTTATTTTTACCGGAAACTATTATATGCAAATTCAGTAATGTTAATCTCTTTATTCATTTTTTTTATAACAAACAAACAAACAACAGTATCCAAAGTTTCATTGTGCTAGAGTTACAGCTACACTGACAATACAATATTTAAATTTCTATAGTGCCAAAATCCTTATAGTTCTAAGGACTTTACTAACTAAGTTACTACTAAAATTTTAAATTTACAAGTATAAAATGTCAAGTTTGAAAAAGGGTAATAAAAGTTTACTTGGAAAACAAACATAAGTAGATAAGAACTAAATGTTCTCTTAAAATGAAATGGTTGGCAGAAGCAGCACAGAGTGCTCCTTTAGAGCAAAGATTTCTAATCATAGCTTCCATCAAGTTTGGCTTGAAGTGCTTGACCTAGACTTTTTTTAAAGGCAAAATGGGCTTTTGTGGCATCACCTTGCATCCAAACTGACTTTCTGTGAACAGTTTTGTTGGTAGAGTCTAGGCTGGAAAGCAGAACACCAGAATTGGCTCTGGATTTGACAAGGTCAAGTATCAACAGCATTTTGGTTCTGAGTGACTAATACCAGTTTTGTTTGCCATGTAGATTATTTCTTTTATTGACAGTTTCTAGAAACTAAACTTGAAACACTGGTTTGTGTGGTTTTATAACTTTTTTTGTGGGTATCATTCACTGAGCGTGTGAACTCGTTGTAGCCAGGCCGTTACTCATAGAAGAGAAAAGAGAGGATCCGATCTACAAACGTAGATTTTTTCTTTGTTTATGAAGAGTTTACAAGGGCCCTGAAGGTTGTATACAGGTTGTTGATGTTGCCGCCTTCTGGGATGGGCAATATTGTGGCACTCCTGCTTTTAATGGCCCAGTTTCCCTCGTTTGTGACATTTACTTTCAGCTTTTCTATCAGCCCATTTCTGGTGTTCCTCTTCCTTCTCCTTTCTCATTCGCTCTTCTTCCTCCTTCTGTTCACATTTCCTTCTTTCTTCACTTTTCAAAGATTGTAATGCAAAAAGTAAAACGAGGAGAAATAACAGATCAAATACGAACTTTATACTGCCATGTACCTTTAAGAAAAAACCAGTGACTCTCTAATTGCAAATATGAAGAGATATAGTTGAGGGCTATAAATGGTAAGGAATTCAAGTGCAAATATTAAAACGAGAAGAAATAACAGAACATTCAATTTGAAAGAAATGTATAGGAAGACTACAAAGTCTATACTGCACATGCACCTTAACGAAAGAACCAGTGACCCTCTAATTGCAAGTATAAAGTCAATACACTGCTTACCATCAGTTTATTCGTAACTTGAGAGCAGCCTTTTCAAAAAGATTTTGTGGTGGCAAATAGAATGATGGAGCAGTGTAGAGTGTCAAGGCCTCCCCATGAGCGTATTGGGCATGAGCTTGTAGGTTTACAATTTAGATGTTCGCAGATGTGATCTGGTGCATTATGGATGTGTGAGAAAAATTCTACACATTTTTTTGAAATGTCATTTGAAAAAAAAGCATGTAATGATTATTTTTTCATGTCAGCTAGAGTCTGTTGCATCTGCTTTTACCTGTTGAAATCCGCTTATCATTTGTCTTCTTGCCTCGGAGGAATTTTGCAGTTGCATTAAAAGGGCATAATTTGTGTCTGCCATCCTTTCTGAGAGCTTTCTTGGTCCTCCTCTTCTTCCATGGGATTTAAAGCGGAGTTTAGTTTTGTGACCTTGCTGTCGGAGGTTTTTTCTTGCACCTCTGCCATTTTTGTATCTGCTTTTACCCGCTGAAATCCGCTTATCATTTGTTCCCTTGCCTAGGAGGAATAAATCAACAGCTCTGGTTGTTTATGGCTTAGAGAAGTTAAGAATAAAGATTAAAGGATTTTCTCATTAGCTTTTCATGTTTTTATCAGCGAAAGCAAAATAAGTAAACAACAAATTCTCTCTGAACATTCATCCCACCTTAAGTTTCAGCTGTCCTCAGCTGATTAGAGGAAAAGAAAAGGAAACAACCAAAAATATACCAGAAAAAATTAAGCAAACGCACAGCAAATAAAACTTTCTAAACTCTACATGTGACGTAAATTTTTAAATTTTCATATTTGTTTTTTGTGCCTGAACTGTGGCGTTCACCAAACTAGCCAAAATGTACGGGCCTTGGGTATTCAAGAGAATTCAGCAAAGAAATGAACGAAGATGAAGAAGTGAAAATCGAAATAATAAAATAAACTAAGAACATAGAATAAGTAATTAGAGAAAAAGGCCAGGACAAAAAAAATGAAAATATGTAAAGTTACGTGTCATGTCACGGTTCTCCCCGAAAGAACCTAGTTCCGTGAAATAAGGTCAGGAAGAGGTTGTACACCACAGTAACAATCTTTGGCACAAAGGAACATTATTGTTGGTGTAGGTAACATGCAAAATCCTTGTTGTTGTTTGTCAATAGGTCATATATCATGAGAAGGAAATCTGTCAAAAAGTGCGAAGCCTTGTGGCACTAACAGTGGTTCGGTGGTAATCTGCCATTGAAAATAATTTTTCTCTAGTAGGAGGTAGAGCGCGACATCAACGACGAACAGGAAGGGAAAAATAGTTCTGTAGTCCAGCAGTTTGTTGTCTAATAAGGCTACCATGATGTCCAGGCACAAGGTCAAGTAAAGAATCTCGGAGGCGTAATAGATGTGGCTTTGTGGGTGGAAGCAATGTGTACAGCGTGCTTTTTTGCACTTAGTTAAGAGAGACCTTTGCTGCAAAGATGGCACTGATGGGCGACAGCTCTAGGATACTTTTTTGAGTACTATTCACCAGCACAGGGCATCTTCGGCCATTGGTGGTAAAGGGAAGGGTAGGACAAATAGGCGAATAGGTCATTGCCGACAAAACAGACCATAACAATTGATAGGTTTTTACACGGAGAAGTAAAAACAGCTTAAGCAGATGTGTTGTCAGTCCTATCATCCACATCACCACTCTCTCTCCAAAGATCCTTTATCTTTACAACGCACAGGCTGTGAATGCAAGGCAGATAGTAATCTTGAGAACAGTCCTCTTCTTCTCCTGGTCTTCTCATGACAATAAGCCGTCCACTTTCACATGCTGAACTGAATTTCTTGAACTGGGCCATCATATGGTTCCCTTGTGCGGAAATATCGATGAGCAGTTTCCCAACAAGACTGTACTGGCTTATCATCTAATAATGATGGCACAGCATTTTTGGCAACACGACCCATTCGGAAAGGTTCACTGAGAGTACAAACTTGTTCACCTCCTGTGAAAACCATGTAAAATACGTTTACAAGGGTGTAAACAAAATAAGAAAACATTTGCAAGAAAGAAATGGAACAAAATATACTAATAAACATAAGGAACTCATGTTTATATAAAGAAATCAACCTGCTATCCTACTTTTCTCTCCTTAAACTGTTATTGTGTTCTCTTTGTCTTGCTTTTCTTTTCTTTGTGTTGTTTTTCCTTCTCCTGTATTTTTCTCTTTGCACTTTTTCTTGGAGCTTTTCTAAAACGTTTGTAATACATTTGAGTTTAAGTTCTATTACACTCAAACCTCTGTAAAGGTGTCACTGTCTATATGGCGGTCACTTTATACCAAAGTGCCAACAAAGGTTTACTTTAAATTTTCTCCTCTGTTTTTTTCTTTGTCTTTATCCTTCACTATTTTCTTTTTTCCATAAATCTTCTAGCATTTGCTGACGCATTTAACTGGTATATCACTATTTTGAAAATTACATTATCGTAAAAATCTACCACGCTTCTATCTATCTACCAACCAGCAGTTTCCCAACAAGGCTGTACTAGCATATCCTCTAACAATGGTGACAAAGCATCTCTGGGGACATTACCCATTTGAGAAAAATCACGGGAGGTACAAAATTGTTCTCCTTCTGTGGCAACTATGCAAAATACATTTACAAGGGTGGGAATATAAGGAAACTGCTGTAAAAAATGAAGCAAAATAGACTAAAAAACGAAAGGAAGCCATATTTGTAAAAAGAAATCAATCTGTTATTTTACTTTTCTCTGCTACTTTTATTATATCTTGCAGCATTGCAGTGTTGCTGCTTCTCCCCTTTTATGAATAGTAAATATTTACCAGATTACTGTAACAACAGTTAGAGACATCATTTGGTTGGCTGTACTACAAAACCTGCGCTCATAAATA